GAACCCGAGCTTATGTATGCCACCCATTCCAGTCCTTTCCCTGGATACTGCCTCACCCAGTTCATGTTATAGCTGCTGAAGGTGAATCCAGAGCCTTGGCAGGAGAGGCGGAGGGAATCTCCCGGTCTTCTCACATCCCCTCCAGACTCCACCAACTGGACCTCTGACTGGACACCTAGAAAGAAATATTGTTGAATAAGATCTTTTGCATGTAAACAAACAAAAAGGGGATAAAAATCTTTTTGGAATGGAAAAATAATACCTCTGAGGATGATTGATAATAATATGAGGTTAATCCAGAGTGTCATTTTTGCCCACTCGAAAGATTGGAGGAGACTTACTAATGGGAACATATTCAGACAAGCACTTAAGCTTTGCGTTGTTGGGCGTAGCAGGAGAGGAGGATGATATGGCTCCTTGGAACAGGAAGCTGTCACTGAATTTGCATAGACCACAGTATAAAAGAACCGTGTGATGCCCTGACTTTCCAAATTAACTTCAACCTAAATTGCAGACGTACTGTTGAAATGCTGAAGAAGTCCCAACACCAGCCAAGGAAGAGTATTTTAATCCTTAAGGAATATCTGAAGCAGCAGGCTTATTTTTTTAGAAAATAAAACTATGCCTTGCACATTCATCCATTCAGATAAGCATTTCTAGAATCAAGTCTCAAAACTAACATGGACGAGCACTCATCAAGGATTCTTTAATAGCCACATATTTGGGAAAATGGGAGGGCTCATGTGAGCGCCTCAGCATGGATAAGCTATTTTTCTTTAAGGATGGTTTGTTACAGAAACCAGAATTAATGTAGTTTAGGCTAAGCAGTGAAGAATGATTTGTGAAACACAATACTTGAGTCTCCCCAAAATCAAAACCAAGAAATCAAATTATGGCCACATGCGCTCTCAGGGGAGTGACAAAGAGGAATAAATAATTTTGCATTATCCCACAAATTCAGTTTGCTTTATGTTTAAGAGAAAAGTGCTGGAGAGAATTCCCCTTTGAATTTCAGAGAAGATGGTAGTCCCAGGTGGAGGCCAGCTGCCATTTGACCATTTCTAGGGACTTTCAACCAAACAGTCAAGGAAATAGACCCCCAAATAAAACCCCATCTGGAAACTCTGGTTACAATTCCTTACCCCTCTGTCATGGCTCATTTATTCTGGGTGACAATCCTGCCTTCCATTGTTAAAGATGAGAAGTAGCAACATAAGATGGACTGTCCAGGACATGCTTGTATTGCAAGAGGGAAAGTGATTCTGGGAAGAAATGGTTGATCTCCAGAAGATTTAAGGAACTCTAGTGAAGAATGAAAGCTGTTCTTTCATTTCTTCATGGGAAAGATGTTTGAAAGGACTACTGTACTAGATTTTTGGATGAGGAGGAGGAGTATTATTACTAAATTTCTCTGGCTTGAGGTTGTTTATTTGCAGGTACAGCTGGCTTTTGGCCTTGTCCCTGGAGATGGGGAAGCGTCCCTTGACTTTGTCTGAGTAGTAAATAGTGCTGGAACTGGGGCTTATGAGTGCCACCCAATTTCCCAGAAATTGTCTCACCCAGTACATGTCATAGCTGCTGAAGGAGAATCCAGAGGCTTTGCAAGATGGATGCAGGGAATCTCCAGGTCTTCTCACATCCCCTCCAGGCTTCACCCACTGGACCTCAGATTGGACACCCAGAATGGATGGTTGTTTGGTAAGACCTCCTGCAGGTAACCATAACAAAGTAGGAAAAACCACTCTGCTTCTAGGGGAAAGTAATACCTCTGAGGACTACTAATAAGAACATGAGGTTTGGCCAGAGTGTCATTTTTTCTCACTCTAAGGATCGGAGGAGTCTCACTGATGGGAAAGATTCAGACAGCCACTCAAACTTTGTGTTGTTGGGCATAGCAGGAGAACAGAAAGATGCGCCTCCTTTGAGCCGGAAGCTGTCCCTGAATTTGCATAGCCCACAGGATGAAAGAGCCACACACTGCTTTGACCTTCTAGTGTTCCTTCATCCTACAATGTATACATAGTTTTCCAGTATTGCACAAGTCCCAACACCAGAGAAGGCACAATTTTAAATCCTTAAGGAAGAAGTGAACCAGCAGTTTTATTTCATTGGAGGAAAAACCATGCCTTCCAAAATTAAAGCACAGATACCTAATTTGAGTGGGAACCTCTCCTCAATTAACATAGCTTTGGGGATCAAAGTGCTACTCTGTGCTTTGATCTTGTAGATTTCCTTGAGCCTTTTTACACAAATAATATTTAGATGATAAATCATAAACCCGTCTAGATGATATGTTCAAATCACTCTACAAAGAAAGCAGATGTTCAAGGGAGGAAGGTTTTATTTATTTGTTTTCTTTTTGCAAAAGCTCCATTTCAGAAATGTCTTTCTAGAATCAAGACTCAAAACTAACATGCCCAGACACCCATGAACAGTTATTTACTAGCCGCATCAGAGACAGAGTGGGAGAGCAAATGACAGTTCATCCATTATTGAAAAGCCACCATGGTTTGTTAAACCCAAAAAAGTTAACCTGATGCAGGCTACACAACCAAGAATAACTTCCAAAGAACAAAGATTGCATCTTTGCAAGTCACAAAGTAAAACCAAGAAATCACTTTATAACCTGACAAAGTCAGGAGAAAGATCCCCCTCTCCCTTTCTTTGGAGCTGACAGAAAAAAAGGCTGTGGGGTGGGGGGGAAGGTCCACAGCACACTGCCCTTCCACTACTATCCCCCCACCCAGCCATTACGTCTCACGCCAACTCTCCAGCGTCCCAAAGTCTTGGCTCGCCTCTCCAGACAAAAAGTCCCATGGAATCAGAGAGTCTGGACAAACACATCAACCCCTGGGCACGGCCTGATCTCCAATGGCCAGTCCTCTGGCTTTTCCTCCGGCTCTTTCTCTGGCCAGCTCCAGCCACCTCCATCTGCCCACAAAAATCCCCCAATATTGTTAAGGAACAGTCCCAGCCTCCAATCCTCATAGCATGTCCCAAATGCACAGCAGCGTCTACTCTGACCAACTCCAGCCTCCAAACCTCGCAGCTCGCCCAAAAACCACAGCAGTGCCTACCCCGGCTGACTCGCTCAAACCTCCCAACAGCAGATCAAGGCATAGGAATCGGCATGGATGGGGCATGGCAACACAACAGCTGTGACAGGAACCCAGGCTACTGGAGTCGGCCCAAACAGCTAACAAAACCAAGAGACCGAAGGCCTATCTGAAGTCCAGTCCAGGTCACTGCCAAGATGGTAATAACCCAAACAGAACTCCGAGGGGATAATCAAGTGGCTCCACTCCTCCTCCATCTTACCAGAAATATATTCTCATCTATTGGTTACACAAATTACAACTTCATGTGTTTTCTGATCACCAAAACATGAAAAAACCTATGATGGACAGCAACGGTAAAACACAGTAGTTCACATTACTATTTAATAGCCACATTAGAGACAGAGTCGGAGAGCATACAACAGTTCACCCATTACTGATAAGCTACCATGGTTTGTTAACGCCAACAAAGTAAATCTGATACAGGCTACACAACCAAGAATAATTTCCAAAGAACAAGGGCTGCATCTTTGCAACTCAAAAAGAAAAACCAAGAAATCATTTTAGGACCAAACATTTTCTCTGAAAAAGTTGAATACATCACCTTTTGGTCTCCTAAAAATGCAGTTAGCATTATGGTCAAGAAGGGAGGACCATACTGGACTCAGGCTTGGGTTTGTGGAGAGAACAGGAGCTCCTGGAGAAGCAGAACCGCCATGGGACGATCTCTATGAATTTTCAAGCCACCAAGAGAATAATCAGCCACAGAACTGAAACCCAATCGGGGATTCCTGGTTTCATTTTCCTGCCCCTCCCCCCATGGCTCACTGGATTCTGTGGGACACTGCTGCCCCCTGGTGCGCAGGATAAGCTAAAGCAGGCCTGGTTCTCCAGGGAGATGCTCCTACTGCAGGAGAGGAAGTGAGTCTGCGAAGACATGACTCAGCTCCAGAAGATGGAAGCAGGTGTAGTGAGTAAGCAAAGCTGCTGTTTGAGTTCCACCTCCAAACAGGCTTTGAAAGGTGACTGGTCTAGATGGTGTGGACAGGGCAAACTTCGGGCCTTATAGTCCGAAGGAGATCACGACTGCTTTAGCAGAGATTGGCAACACTGCTCTGTTCTTCCTTCATACTATGTTTCCTGATAGAAAATAAGGATAGGAGCTATTTAGCTTTTAAAGATTCCCTCTCATGCTTCTGCCTTGTTATTTTGCAGTGAGAAAAATCCTTATTTTATCATCCCCTTTATTTTGCCTGGATGACTGTGGTTTTCTTTAGCGTGAGACGTAATTTGCAACCATTCTCTTTTTTATTTTATATGTAGTTTAATTTTTTTTTAAAAAAAATATCCACTTCTCCCAGGTAAATCTCTCTCTCCATCCTTTGAGGATCCTCTTTGTCAGAAGCACTCCTACTTGTTCTTCTCATTTCCTACCTCCCAAAAGTTTTGGCTACATTATAGCAGACAAACATGAAGACAAACCAACAAAATCCACCAGCCTCCTCAATGCAAACATCTGGGTGGTTGAGGGAGGCAAAATTCTTCACTCAGAGAAAAAAGAAAGGAATGGTGTCTCTTCCTATTCCAGTGCATGATTTCCTTTGCAAATAGAAGCAGAACTCGAAGCAGAAAGAAGACAAGCAAGGACCGTGTAAGCACGTAACTCTCCGCATGGAATTTGTCCGCTTCCTTCTTCAAAGCCGCTATTCTCTCTGTAGTCCTCCCCACTGGCCTCATTTGATCTATGACATACAACAGCCAATCTTCTCTCCTCAACCCTTTGTATCTCCTCATTTACACAAGTGGATAATTAAGGACTGTCTCCTCTCCCCCCACCCCCCTTTAGCCTTGCTTTTCCCTCAAACAACATATCTGCTTTTCAATGCCAATGTGTCCTGCTCAGCACCTGAAAGGTAGCCTGGGGAGAAGTTCTCTATATTCTCAGTGAAATGCTCAAATCCAAAAATGTGGATGAATTAACCTGGAAAGGAAAGAAGCTCTGAACAAAGGAGATTTTCTGTTTGGCCTTCAGATTTCACTTTTCCTCACAGAAATTATTGTCAGCAGATAAGCAGAAGTTTTGCATTTATTCCTGAAATCTCTTCCAGCTCTGTCTCTGTCTTTTTATGTCTTTGTGTGTTCTTTTCAGGACAGTAACTTTTTGTCATTTTTTTTGTACGATTCTTCGCAAATTTAGTCTACCGATTCAAACTGTACTTCATGGATGAACTCTCAGTGCTGCTCTGAGGAACGGGGAGTTTTTGCCTGGCTTCAGATTCACTTCCTCTCACTGTGCCTCTCGTGCACAGTAATAGCGTCCCGTGTCCTCCAGTTTGAGGTTGTTCATTTGCAGATACAGCTGGCTTTTGGCATTGTCCCTGGAGATGGTGAAGCGTCCCTTGACTTTGTCTGAGTAGTAAATAGCGCTGGAATCGTAGCTTATGAGTGCCACCCATTCCAGTCCTTTCCCTGGATACTGCCTCACCCAGCTCATGCCATAGCTGCTGAAGGTGAATCCAGAGCCTTGGCAGGAGAGACGGAGGGAGCCTCCAGGTCTTCTCACATCCCCTCCAGACTCCACCAACTGGACCTCTGACTGGACACCTAGAAAGAAATATTATTGAATAAGACCTTCTCCAGGAGAACACACAAAAAGGGGATAAAAAAGTTTTTGGAAGGGAAAAATAATACCTCTGAGGACTATTGATAATACTATGAGGTTAATCCAGAGTGTCATTTTTGTCCGCTCGAAAGATTGGAGGAGACTTACTAATGGGAACACATTCAGACAAGCACTTAAGCTTCACGTTGTTGGGCGTAGCAGGAGAGGAGGTTGATATGGGTCCTTGGAACAGGAAGCTGTCACTGAATTTGCATAGACCACAGTATAAAAGAACCGTGTGATGCCCTGACTTTCCAAATGAACTTCAACCTAAATTGTAGACGTACTGTTGAAATGCTGACGAAGTCCCAGCACCAGTGAAGGAAGAATATTTTAATCCTTTAGAAATATCTGAAGCAGCAGGCTTATTTTTTAGACAGTAAAACCATGCCTTGCACATTCATCCATTCAGGTAAACATTTCTAGAATTAAGTCTCAAAACTACCATGGACAAGCACTCATCAAGGATTCTTTAATAGCCACATATTTGGGAAAATGGGAGGACTCATGGGAGCACCTCAGCATGGATAAGCTATTTTTCTTTAACGATGGTTTGTTACAGAAACCAGAATTAATGTAGTGTAGGTTAAGCAGTGAAGAATGATTTGTGAAACGCAATACTTGAGTCTCCCCAAAATCAAAACCAAGAAATCACATGATGACCACATACTCTCTCAGGGGACTGACAGAGAGGAATAAATAATTTTGCATTATCCCAAAAATTCAATTTGTTTTACATTCAAGAGAAAAGTGATGGAGAGAATTCCCCTTGGAATTACAGAGAAAATGGTAGTCCCAGGAGGAGTTCCGCTGCCATTTGACCATTTCTAGGAATGTTCAACCAAACTGTTAAGGAAATAGGCTCCCAAATAAAACCCCATCTGGAAACTCTGGTTATCATTGCCTACCCCTCCATCATGGCCAATTTCTTCTGGGTGACAATGCTGCCTTGCAGTGAGGAAGATGAGAAGTAGCAACATAAGATGGATTGTCGAGGACATACTTATATTGCAGCGGGGAAAGTGATTCTGGGAAGAAATGGTTGATCTCCAGAAGATTTAAGGAACTCTAGTGAAGAACAAAAGCTGTTCTTTCATTTCTTCATGGGAAAGACGTTTGAAAGGACTACTGTACTAGATTTTTGGATGAGGAGGAGGAGTATTATTACTAAATTTCTCTGGTTTGAGGTTGTTTATTTGCAGGTACAGCTGGCTTTTGGCCTTGTCCCTGGAGATGGGGAAGCGTCCCTTGACTTTGTCTGAGTAGTAAATAGTGCTGGAACTGGGGCTTATGAGTGCCACCCATTCCAGTCCTTTCCCAGAAATTGTCTCACCCAGTACATGTCATAGCTGCTGAAGGAGAATCCAGAGGCTTTGCAAGATGGATGCAGGGAATCTCCAGGTCTTCTCACA